ACTAGTTTCTTTTGAACACATAGCTCCGGCTTTTCGATGCATATGGCAAGAGTTTCAGCCAGCCACAGAAGTTGGAGACACACTGCCTTTGGTAGATGTTATTTACTTTGTAAATGACTCTAAATGATGAGTCAGTTGAGATTCTCCTACAGGTATTGACGAGATGCTCAGTTATTGCCCTTCTGATTGAACCAGTACCTCCTCTCTAACACGTTTTTATAGGACCTGCATAGAACCACCCATGTACTTAGCTCCGCAAGAGCAGGTGAACTGATATATGCGCATTGAAGTGGTCATATGCGGAAGTCTGTCCTTCCCGGTGCTCCGAAAAAGTGGGTGGCTAGAGAATATCACTCTTAGAGTTACTACCGGAAAAGTCTTCTTCAGGGAATTGGAGATTCTCCTTTTAAGGATATCTGCTGCTAGGTCTCCCTTGAATTCCAAAATCAAATGAAGTGTTTCGTCTTGCAATGAAGTGCATTCTTCTCTTTTTTGTCTTATTTCTCCAGTTATCCAATATTAATTTTGCATACCTTTTAAATGTTTCCTAATTCTATCCAATCTTGTCTCTAAGCCCCCCTATATTCCTGCCTTCAAACTTTCATATCAAGTTGAAAATTATTATCATCTTCGTTAGTATGTGGAGTTAAACAAATTATCATTGTATCCATAAGTAAAAAACACAGTTTTTGTTCAGCGAAGAAATTCCTTTTCAACGACTTCATTTTCAAGCTGTACAGTCGTATTGATATTACAGAAAAAGGTTATTAAGTGCCACTAAATAATTGCTCAGTCAATGTACGTATATATGTGATAAAAGTTTTAAGGGGTAGAGTTGAAGTGGATAAATTACAAAAATATTAAAGATTGTTCTATGACAAAAATGTCAAGTGTTGTCTAAAAATTTTGAAAATTAGGAGTACGGTTATGATGAGAATGAAGATGTGAGGTGAAGTAGAAAGAATTCAAGTGGTAAAATAAAATAAAACCTAGAAAGAACATTATTATGACCAAGGTAAACAAAGGGTGTTGACAAAACGTTTTTGAACACATAATTTAGGTTTCTGTTCATGTATAGCTAAAGCTTCGGCTATGCATAAGTGAAGAAAACGTAAACTTTTGGATCGATTCGATTTTGCCATGTATATAACTTTGAAAGATGAATCACGTGGGGCTAAATGACTAGACTCTAACAGGTGATCACAAATAGACGACTTCGCAGTTCTACGTTCGCCTTTCATTAACCAAACCGGATAGTGTTCAGCTACACGTTTTCGGAGATTACGCTTACAATGTTCAATATAATCAGCTCCACATAGATGTGGCAAAAGCGGTAATCTATCTGACGCATTGTCTGATATATTTCGGCTGGTACCACATCTATGTGCATTTACTCATTTACTTGCTCCTGTGGAGCTGATTATATTGAACATTGTAAGCGTAATCTCCGAAAACGTGTAGCTGAACACTATCCGGTTTGGTTAATGAAAGGCGAACGTAGAACTGCGAAGTCGTCTATTTGTGATCACCTGTTAGAGTCTAGTCATTTAGCCCCACGTGATTCATCTTTCAAAGTTATATACATGGCAAAATCGAATCGATCCAAAAGTTTACGTTTTCTTCACTTATGCATAGCCGAAGCTTTAGCTATACATGAACAGAAACCTAAATTATGTGTTCAAAAACGTTTTGTCAACACCCTTTGTTTACCTTGGTCATAATAATGTTCTTTCTAGGTTTTATTTTATTTTACCACTTGAATTCTTTCTACTTCACCTCACATCTTCATTCTCATCATAACCGTACTCCTAATTTTCAAAATTTTTAGACAACACTTGATATTTTTGTCATAGAACAATCTTTAATATTTTTGTAATTTATCCACTTCAACTCTACCCCTTAAAACTTTTATCACATATATACGTACATTGACTGAGCAATTATTTAGTGCCACTTAATAACCTTTTTCTGTAATATCAATACGACTGTACAGCTTGAAAATGAAGTCGTTGAAAAGAAATTTCTTCGCTGAACAAAAACTGTGTTTTTACTGATGAATAAATGGGTATTTTTCTAGAATAATCGTATCCATGTAAACTAGTCTATATAAGTGTGATTGTACATGTGCTTTTGAGAATGAAATCGCCGGAAAGACAGATATATCTGTTTACGGAACTTCTTGTTCGTTTCAGTCTAAATTTAACTGATTGTTACTATGAGATGATGACCTTAGAACGTGTAAATATATTCATGTAACATTCTTAATAATTATGCGCTTATTATTCCTCGTAATTTTGTCTGAAAAAGTGAAAACTATTTATAACCTAAACGCATATTGTTAAAAATAAAAGTATGTAGAGTAAATCACGATAAAAAACCATAATTAATTAATGTGCGTAGTGAATGTGTTTAACAAGATAATTTCTCACTTTTTAGTCTTGCTTCTTTTTTATAATTTACAGCTCTGATCTACATGTTTTACTCTATGAGGGTGAAAATTTAACACGAAATGTTTTCTCCCTCCAAAGTTCTACTTTTTTTGATGTTATCTCTCAGTTATCTACGTCATTTCATAGAGAAGAACATCAGTCGTTACAGAAGGAAAATATAGACAGACATCTGAATTCCAAAGGAAAGATAATTTGTTTGAAAATGCAGTGGTCTAAAAATAAAACGCTGTATCTGAATCTGAATTTCAGGGGTGATTCGGCAGCCGATATCCTGAAGAAGAGAATATCCAGCTCTTTAAAGAAGACCTTCCCAGCAGCGGCACTAAAAGTGACATTCTCTAGCCGTCCAGTACTTTGAAACAACACGAAGGAAAACTCTATTATATGACCAACTCACTGTGCATATACCTCCTCGCGCGGAGCTAGATACACAGGTCGTTGTATGCACGTCCTTTCAAAACGTGTTAGAGAACATTACCTAGCGTGACTGCAAAGAGGAGGCACTGGTTCAGTCAGAAGTGCCATTATTGAACATCTCATCAACACCTTCCACAACATCTCAACTGATTCTTTCAAAGTAATTTACAAAGTCAACAGACACCCACCAAAAGCAGTATGTTTCCAACTTCTCTGTACTGCAGACGCTCCTAAAATATGCATCGAGAAGCCGGAGCTCTGAGTTCAAAAGAATTTAGTCCAACCTTTACAATTACCATGGACTTAGTTCTGTATGTTCCCTTAGCTTCCCTTGTTTTCTTTCTTCCTTCCTTCTCTTTTTTTCTTTTTGATGTTTTTTCGTTCGCTGTGTGTGTGTGATTCTTACTCCCTCAGTCTTTATTCGATTCAACCCATTTTTTCAGTTATAAAAACAGTTATTTTAGGTTTGTTTCCATGCTTTTCCCACTCACATTTACAATTCGTTTAGAACTAACTAATTTACAATTATTTCTTTATCCTGTGCAATTTTTGTGTTTCTAAGTCTCTTGTAACCTATATTCGTACCTCCTTACTCTCATCTCAAGTTGAAAATTATTATTTCAATTTTGTTTCCATGGTCATTTTTACACACACACATGTTATCTGTTCTAACCCTGTGTATTTTGTTTCTAAGCCTCCCGTAAAAACCATATATATTTGAAAATAATTATCAACTTTTATTCGCCGTTATGTCTATGTGGAATCAAACATGATTTGTATCCATGTAGAAAAAATATATATTTAAATGCGATTGTACAGCTTTTGAGAATGAAATCGCCAGAAAGATCGACATCTTTGTTAAACTTCGTGTTCTCTTCTTGCTTATGTCCTTATGGGTGTTTTCCACGAGCTAAACAGACTTCATCTTTTATTTTTTAGACATATAAGTTTAAGATAAACGTTTTTGAATATATCGCCAAACAAATGCGTTTTTCAGCCTCCATGAAGATACGACCATAATTTATTTTATCTATCAGCCCAGTTCTCCTAATCAGGTAAAGGGAACAGTTTCCCACCGATAGCACTGGCTGAGGATTGCACTGTGTGTACCTGTTATGTCCTATACGAGTAGTTAATTGTCCTGACGCGGAAAGGGGTAAATAAGAAGGCCACCATGTTCGCAAAGATATGTGTATTTTCCAACAAAGGAAATTGACTGTCACACAAGTGTGTGAGTGAAAGGGTACTCAGTGCACGAAAAGGTGTGAACAAGTGTGTCTAAAAGTGTAAAATACAAAAGTATATATGAAAGTGACTAATATACATTGACCAATAAGATAGAAATCTGATTAGTTGTAATGTCATTTGACAGAAAGGTCATACATTGTTTATTTAGTTAGTGGACAGACAAAGCATATTGTGGATTATAATGAAATATCGATCAATGTACACCTAGCAAAATATATCAGACTGTCAAAAACAAAACACACATCATGTGACTACTTGTCAGTACCATAAAGTCGCAGAAGTTGAAATTCATTGGCCATCGTGTCTGATCCCTGTTACAGAATGGTCCCGGATCTGAACTCCAGTAGACGCCTACTTCTGAGGGGTCTCAAACTAGCAATAAACTATTGAATTAGGACAGCATGTTGTTTTCCTAGCCGCCGGATCGATAATGTTCGGAGACAGAGATCTTCTAACAAAATGAATTACTTGACCCATAATAGCAACATTTATGCGAAAGTGTTAATTCAAAGCGATCAACGTCACTGACTAACGTACACTCTAAAGCATTAATCAGTTTATTGTTCTTTTGTTTCTTAAAAATTAGTGGATCAAGTTAAAAAAGGGAAATTCGCCATCAAAAATCATTTATTTTATCTCGAATTAACCCCAAGAATTTCAAAGTTAATTTTGATACTAAAACTGTTATAATGTTATACTCCTGTAATGCATTTTCACTCGTAGAAACGTGTGTATTTATCAAAAGCCATAATCTCATTTAGACGTAGGAACAATATGATTGGTTGTTACTTTTTAGCTGTAGGCTATTTTGATTGGTCAATGCTTTCTGAAAGCGTGGTACAAAACTATATATTCACAAATATATGAGGGCTAATTAACAGATGAATTTTATAACTGTTGTTCTGCATGCTAAAGGTTCATTTAATTTCATTCTTCTGAAAAATTTACTGAGATGAAAGCTTTAAAAACTAAATAATATGCTCAATAATAAATCTTAAAACAAAATTATTCCCAATTAACTATTCAATAAAAAATTTTGAGAAATTAAAGAAACTATAAATATTCCAGGCTAACAATAATGATGAAAGGATCACAAATTACAAATCATAGAAAATTTCCCGTTGATGGATGTCTACCTGATATTGATTATTCTGCTATGAGAATGAAAAATTTAGATGATCAAGACTTAGACAGAGTTTTAATGGAGTATGAGGTGAGTAGAGTGTTTTACAAACGTTTTATGAAGTATTTCGGTAACGATTTTGGTCTCAATTTAACTAGTCCTGATTCTCTAATATGTTCACAGATTAAATATCAGTTAGAGAACCACTGAAAACCTTGGAAGGCTGGATAACTGTTTCGTCTTAGTTTGCGACTCTTCAGAAGTACGTATGCATAGGGGTTTTCACTCATGACATCCTGGATATATTTCGAGGTCACAGAGATTTCATTCATTGAGATGCAATCAACTGGCGCATGAATTCTAACATCTACCAGCTGGTGATTTTAGCGTGACCTTCAGCCGAAGTCATCGACAAGTAGTGGTCCTTATTGTCAACGGACTAGACTGCACTGGTCATGAATCAAAACTTGAACTCCAGGCGACTTCGTCTTTCAGCTGATGATCACGAATTGCCGGCAGTTAGAGAACCCTTTAAGAAAGTGTTTTGATGTAACCGGATGGTCCTGAGTTTCAAACCCGATCGGAATGTACTGTTTAAGAGTCGCAGAATAGGATAAAATAGGTATATGTGTTCTCTTTGGTTTCCAGTGATTCTTTAACTAATATCAATCTATGGTCATACTACATACTAACTCTTGAAAATATTCTTGGTTTTTCCATGCCTTTAGGTTCTTTGAGGTATATGTTTCAACTGTGAAGATTCTGCTGACTTCCTTAAGTTACATCTATATCGATTTTTAAAATAAGGTTGTCTTAAACGTATTTCGTGCACTTAAGTGTTACAGTTGTCCTTGTAGAATTTCATGCCATTGCGTCTCCTTGCACTTTTTCGTTGACTTGGTATTGCTCATTTTGGTTTTCTGACTTATTCTCAGCAAACTTAAGAAATCGCATAGGAGTTGAACCGTCGATAGAATAATCTCAGAAAGTTAGGTATAATAATGTAGAGCCATTCACAACACAAAGAACAGTCATGTAAATGGTATCAGTATCAATTAGAAACGGAATCAGGCAACAAAATGACAAGCCGTGGGCAGAGGTTTTGTGCTTGTTGGCATTTATCTGGAAAGGTGTCAACCCTCAAGCCAACCAATCGACTTAACACTATCCACTAAAAGTCATTAGGAAAATCACACAAAAAAAATATGCGAAGAACACTTCTAAAATGTCTGCTAACGCAGTGAAAACATTTCAGATGTGCATTGCCCACCAAATAACACATTCGCTTCGGTTGATATTCCGTAGATGAAAAGACGATGTGACAGAAAAGGAAGGCTTAGGCTACATTCCTTATGAGTCGCAGCAGCTATGAAAAGCATTAAGCTGCCGAAGCGGATAGCACCTTAAGTTTTAACAACCGATAACATAAACTTGGGTTTAGATGTGTTCGTTTCACTGACAACAACAACAACAACCAAAATACCAGCTCAAAATGGAAAATGTTCCGGTTCAAAACACAGGGAAAATACCAAAAGTGACAGTGATACATTTATAAATGACATGTTAATAAAAATAACTTTTATTCTTAAGTAGAAGAAAACAAGTCATGAGGCGAAAACAGCAAATATCCTGTCAAGGAAATGATCAACTGTAATTCATGCGGATTGCAATGGTTTTCAAATCACCAACTACAATTAGGATTATCCAAAAAGACAGTTATTTTATTCAGCACAGATTCGAAATAATTACGAGAAAGAGAGAATTAAATATGCTCTTATTTTAGTCTTGTATTTTGTAAGTGCGTAAATGTGAATATCGTTTTTATCCCTTAATATAATTTGCAAAATGTGCAAACCGAGTTCACTTTTAACAGTTTGAAAAAATTTGGGCATTGGTTATATGATAATGATTATAATAAAGGTTTTTGTATTTCCCAATGAATGAAAGACAAAACGATAGTGTTTTAACTAACGTTTCGCTATTTAATTCTGCTGTTAATAGCTTTATCAAAGTAGTATTAATAATCCGGAATTTACAAAATCCACTCATCTTATATATAACAAAGAGTTAACAGGTGAGAAAATAAACTTAGGTCAACTTAAAAGGACATATTGAAAGTCAAAATAACAATGAAGATCATTGAACCAAATGACAAGGTAAAAGTACGTCTGTTATAATATCAAATTAAAGTTTACTAACTTGATCATTGTTCGTCAATCTGGATTAAGATATATGGATGATACTTTTGTAATACTAAAACTAGATCTACACAATTTATTCCTGGAGAAAATAAACTGTATATCTCCCAGAATCCAGTTCACTTCGGAAGCAGAATCAGACGTTGGTGAAATACCATTTCTAGACTGCCTACTTAAGAGGAGAGAAAACGGACATTTTAGTATATCCATATTCAGGAAGAAAACCCACTCCAATAAATATTTAGACTTCAAATCGTCACACCGCATCAGTGCAAAGATTTCAGTTGTTTCAAGTCTTTTTAGACGAGCACACTCTCTGATAACGGATGAGGAAGGAAAAAAAGAAACTTTGAAGCAAAACATTAACCCAAAAAACTTCATCAACAAAATCAACACAGGCATTTAGTATGGCCAAAAACGCATTCCGAAAACATGGACATCAACAGTCATCATCCATATAGAGCAGAAACGTCAGGCGATACCAGAAGAGTACTCATTCAGCTCGACATTAGAGTTTTCTTCAAAACATCAGACACGCTTCAAAGCAACCTTGTCAATAAAAAAACCAAATCCCTAAAGATTCTCTATGTAATTGTGTCTATAAAATCAAATCATTGCTTGGAATGTGATGCGATCTACATCGACAAACATCGCCAGACAGAAATCAAAGTCAGAAGAAATGAACACTCTAGAGCATCTTTTCGATCACTGACAAATCCAGTTGAACTAGAAAAACTTTAAAAATCATCAGCCATATGTTGACTACACGTTATAGAATCAGGCCACAAAATTGTTTTTGACAATATTGAAATAACCAGAAAAACTTCAGAAATCACAGAGAACGTCTCATTTCATCAGAAGCACTTCATATCAAATGGAATCCAAATTGCCTGATGATTAGGAATGACGAAATAAGAAAGAACGCGACTTGGTTACAACACTCCCTCCCTCTGCCTTGAAATGACAAAGTCAACAAGAATGTGATATGCAAGCTCACTATGTAAACACACACTGCTTTTATAATTTTACACGCTGATCAAATCTAACAATCTACACTTGATTTTGTTATCTCTACCAGTTGACCAAGTTGACAACGAAAAATGCCCCAGACTGACGAACGATGGTCAAGTTAGTAAACCTTGATTTGATATCATAGCAGATACACTATTACCTTGTTACTTGGTTTAATGATCTTCATTGTTATTTTGACTTTCAATATGTTCTTTTAAGTTGACCTAAGTTTGTTTTGTCACCTGTTAACTCTTTGTTATATATAAGATGAGTGGATTTTGTAAATTCCGGATTATTAATACTACTTTGATGAAGCTATTATCGTTGAATAGCGAAACGTTAGTGAAAACAATATCGTTTTGTCTTTCATTCATTGGGAAATAAAAAAACCTTTATTATTATAATTTGGAAAAATTTTGTCGATTGTTAAAATTCCCAGTTTTATGTCTTATAGATTCAAGGAAGAGCAATTACTGCCTACATTTTTCAGCTTCAATCTCCAGGTAAGAGATTGGATGAATGGAATGCCTACACTAATTAGTAGATTTTGAGAACCTGATTTACGAAATTCTTAGTCAACCTGAGCGGTAGAAAATACTGCATGCAGTACATTAAACGCTTTTTCAATTCAGCCTTTTGAATTCCTCGCCTACTTTTCCAACACCTGAATTGTCGGGTAAGAAGTGTTTTTCTTCGGCTCTGTTGAAACATCTCATGTGAACCAACACTCTATCAGCACTTATTTTAAGCTTTATTCACAATTCTTCTTTGCTTTAGAATAAGGAGTTATGTGGAACGTCAACAGTTAGTTGTGTCAGCAAAACAATGAATCAGTAGACATTCCATTCCTGTCTTTGTAAAAACAAAATGATCACGTTCATTTGTGTATAATAAAATTTGAACCAAAATGACTATTATTCAATTTGCTATCTCTGTATATCTTTCATAATGACGGTTAATAATGTCACATGTAGGTCTCTGCATGACGAATAATTCTAAGCTTTTACAAAGTAAAAAATGGAGCATGACAAAATTACAGTCATCGTATTCAGCTATCTTTTAGTAGAGTTGAAAGGATTCAGTTAAACTTCTCCACAACAGCCTCATTCATATTGGCATTAATTATATTTAATAGATATCGAGAACACTTCTGTTGAAAAAGTAGACAAAATGTTAAGTTCTCACAAAATTTATGGAGCATTATTATTCTCTTGGGTTCTGAGTGAAAAAATAGGCCTTCAACAACAAGGCTGGCACAGTGATAGATTGTTCGCTAACCACGCAGGTGATTCGTGGTTCAATCCTTGGCGGACGCACATCTTTACCTCCCTAAGCCGGTAATGAGACTGGTAAAGAGGAAGGTTTGATGTGAAGCTAGCAACCCCATCCTATAAAAATAAACACCACCGCTACCGAAAATTTGATCCTCTAGCTTGAAGCACAATGTTCCAGTGGGAACGTAAAGGAAATATTAAGAAGATAGTTGCAGCAAAGAAAATTTTCTAATCAATGAAGTCAGCGTCAACTAGATAACTTTACATTCGTGTATTTATATCAAATGGATGGGAAAGTTCCAAAATAATTTCCGGTTAAGGGTCAAATTAATAAAAATTACAATTAAGAATTAGAATGCCATAATAAACAGGGGTACGGATAAAACAAACAAAGTAGCATCATAATAACTAAGACGATTGACATTGTGCAATTGGGGGTTAAAAATGTAGAAATAGTAAAATGACAAAATGAACAGGAAGTTCAGATATGAAAATATGGCAGTGTAAATAGGGATTAAGAAAAACTTAAAATTAACACGCATAAACAGGAAGTTTAGATAAGAGAGGGGATGGGATGGTCATTACTAAAAGAATTACCTGTTTATGA